ATCCATTCTGTGTTACTGCAGCAGTCACTACTTGCATGTTGTTCTTCATCTCATCTGGTGCAGATTCCAATGCMAATCCGTCACCTCTTACTGCATGCATCCATTCCGACTCGCTGTCGCTTCCGATGATTACGTCGTCTTCGTTGTCGATGCTCATGTCGCTGACGCTGTTTATTAGAAGCTGATGGTGGTAGGGGGGAATATTATTCATGGTGCGCAGAGATGGATCGATTTTTACGGTACAGCACAGCGATGGATTTATGGAACGCAGCTTTTATGATCAGTGTGTTCGAATGCGTTTCTGCCACCCTCTGAATGCTTCGTCGAAATGGGAACGCAACAATTATGCGAGTGAAGAGACCTCACCGTTGTTTTGGCTGTTGGTCGTATTCAACATTTATTTTTTCCCTTGGTACCTCCTCACAACCACGACCTCAGGCGTGTCAATATTTATTTTTACCGTACCCTTGGCACGACTAAGAACTCGTACCGGTACGAGGTCTTAGTCGTACCGATACTGGATCGGTACCCAAACATCAAACATCCATGGACACCGCTTTGCCGATCATCGGTTGCGGCGAACGCTCTACGTTTTGTGGTTTTCCCAAGAGTGCCGCACCAAGCTCAGCGGTCAATCTATCCCGTCCTCGAGGGCCTAGCGATTCCTTGCTTTTGAGGTTCGTGTCGATGCCGCTTGGAGAACCGCACCGACGTTGATAAGGCAATCTTTGCCGGTTGTGCATCTGCACGCAAAAGCGTTTCTCGATCCTGGATCCTTCTTCCGTGACGGACAKTGCTCGCTGCAGCTCTTGTGGTGGACTGCGCCACGGTGCGCTGCATGGAAGTTTTCAGAGGTTTCCTTGTGGTTTCCACGAGGAAGCAAAGAGGTGCGATGCTGCAGTGATTGCAGCAAATGTTCTGTGCGAAAGCGATCCTTGCAATCGATTCTGTGTATCGCAAGGGCCATTGTTTCTCTTGACGTCCCCTCGTTTGAAACCATGTTTRCGTCAATCGTGATTAAATCGATGAGGTCGGTTAGAGTTCCACCACAACCTTTTMGTCCTTCAAGTCTGCGAAATTTTAGAAAAKCACSCCATCGATAGAAAAGTKGRGTGGCGAGRATGCAAGTCTTCCCACGAAATTCTTCACATGCAAAATAGTGTATCATAATTTTTTAATTCTAGTTTGATCGATGAGAGATCATCGGACCGACAGTCWTGCATCACTGTGTGCAATGAACAACGGACGCCCTGCTTTTCCGCGTACTACTAGCATACCTATTGAGTTTGAAAACACTAGCAGAAGACCGAAATTTATGAGRTTCCTGTTTCGAACAATCCTATTTTGAAGTCCCGCCTAACAGACATCTATGCAAACTAGTGATTACAATAACATATTATGTGTTTTCAAAGAGATAGGATAYGGCGTTCCTTTCCCTCACGGTTTCATTCCGCTGTTTCGMCAACAGCACAAGGAAACTCTAGGCCCGGCGAACGCCACCGGTTGTGGCAGAGCTGTTGCTGCTCACGGGGAGGAGGCCCGTTGTTGTCGCCGKTTCATCCATTGCTGGAACCGGTTCCTTGGCGTCTCTTTCCTTGTTTTTGTGTTCCTTTTCTTTTTTGGRTTCGCCAAAGCATTCCGTACAACACTTGCATTTTATTTCATCGCAATCCACCTTGAGTGTTTCCATGCTGTAGCATCCGGGGCAAAGTCCCCACGGCATATTGCCGGACAGGTCGTTGCTCTGCAGAGTCAACGACGTCAGCTGGAACATGTTGTTCCAAGAATTWGGTATCTTGCCGGACAAGAGATTCTTTTCGATCGAGAGTTTCTCTAATGGTTTACAAACGAAATACGAACGATGGGAGGATGTGTTAGAACGGGAACTCTGGAACCAGCTACTGTCAAAACAACCAGAGCCATGACAAATTCGGATGCAKAAAACAACTATCGTGCGCGCGTGTGTGTCAATCATGCCAGTGTGCTTACCGATATTGACCATGTTTTCGAGCTCTTCCGGAAGCGTTCCGTTCAGCTGGTTGTTTTCGAGTCCGATCGTAGCCACGGATGCCCACATTCCGAGCTCCGAGGGTATCGATCCCGTCAGCTGGTTGTTTCCCATCGACGCAATGGTGAGCTTTTCGAGGTTTCCGATTTCGCTCGGAAGACTTCCGCCGATGTTGTTGTACTGAATGTTGATCTTTTCCAATCCGGTGAGCTGCCCGAGTTCGCTGGGCAGGCTCCCGGACAAATCGTTGTTGTTGAAGAACAGCAGGCGCATGCTGTCCGAAAGCAAACCAAGTTCTGGGGGAAGGGACCCCGCCAATCCAATGTTTCGCAGGTGAATGGCAAAGTACTTGTTGTTTTCGTCGCAGATTTTACCCTGATAGCCCTCGTTKGAGGACTCCCACTCGCACTCGTCCGAATAACTCAACCAGGGCTGCTTTCCCAAGCCGAATGCAACGGGCAACTGATCCGTCTTCCAGTTCGGTCCACCGGTGCTGTAGTAAAGCACGCCTAGGGTCCAACGCTGGACAATAGTATCGATCGTCATGTCCCAATAATCGGGATCCTTCGACATCCAATCAAAAGACTTGAATTGGGGCGAGGCTTTGTCATCCAAATAGGACAAGGATTGCGGAGACTTGTTCGCAATAATAAATTTCAGGTCGGTACCGATTTTGGTGAGGTCGGGATCAAATGCTTCTACTTCGTAATAGTTTGTGTTGTTGCTGTCGATGCTGTTGATAATGTCACCAATCACTTCGGTTGGCACATCGGTACCAGTGAATATGTTTTCATCGGGAACTTCCTCGTTGTTCGCAATCGGAGGTTCTGTCACTGCMKATGGTGTTGTAGTATCGTCGTCAGCGTCTTCGGCGTCCATCTTCCCGGTAACTGGTTCTSGCACGGCAGTTTCCGGTGCGRTTGGTAACACAGGCGAAAGCGTAACGATAAAAGTGTCTCCGATGCCATCGGGCAGAGAAGAATCCGATGGGTCCATGGGAACAAAGATCGGCTTGTTGAAGAATTCTCCGCCGTTTCCGTCGTTGTCTACRTACGMGGCGTCGCTGCTGTTCGCGATCGCAGCATTGTTCTTTTTCATCTGGAGAATGCTGAGGACCAAAACRGCCGCCGCRGAAATCAACATGAAAAAACCRAGGAAGATCATGACGCGAATGATGGTCCATTTGTGTCTCCGGCAGCAAGATTCGTTCCTCCTCTTCGACAAAAGGGTGTCGTCGTCGTCGCCTCCCGGACCACCCTCGCCAATCACCAAGTCCAGCACGTCCTTGTCTCGGTGCAACCGGTTTTCTTCGATGATGTCGTCTCCGAGTCGACTGGAGATGGGGATCTTTTCGTGGACGTCCATGACGTTTGTGAAGGAAAAGGACAGACCGCTGGATTGCGGAGAGGTCCCCATGTCCTGCGTGCTGGCCGTACGGGTCTTGGAGATGTCCTGGAGGTCGCTTTTCTTCTGCTTCAGCAGCAGCTCTTCCTGGTGTTTCAGCTGGCGTTCCTTGAGCTCCTGCTGCTTCTGGCGGTTCTGTCGCCCCCGCCGAATGATGGATTCGTCCCCCAGGGTGCTCAGGTCGTCCTCGCAGCCCTCGACGTATCCGTGCTCCGGGGTCTGCGTGACGTAGGAAATACTGTGTGCGTTGCTGTTGGCTCCGCTCGACGCCGATGGGCTGGTGCCCCCRGAAAGGGAGAGGGGATCGGCGACCCCGGCGATGGCTCCCTGGGGCATGACCGGATCGCCGGCGCCAGGGCCGGAGTAGGCCTCGGGGCTGGCCGGGGTGGCGCCCGGCCCCATGGCCTCGAAGCTCTGYACGCCGTGGTCGTTCTCGATCTTCGACAGGTACTGGTTGTAGGAGGATTCGTACGCCGAGGAGGAGTGCTCCGACGGGGATYGGYCGATYCCTTCCTGGTAGTTGTCGCAAGAGTTTTCTCCGGTGGTGCCGGTCTTCGCCAGTTGGAGCTCTCCGGAGGCTCCGATGCCCGTATCGGAGGACGGGATTCCCGTGTCGGGGAACCCCTTGTAGAACCCCTTGCCGGATTCTTCCTTGGCCTTGCTCTTGCCTTTGCGGCCGAAAAGGAAAGACTTCATCGTGCTTCGCGATTGCTGTATTGTACGAAGTATTGGCTTGTGGCTCKAGTTGTCTCTGCTCTTGTAGAGGTTCGGGTGGTTGGCTCGGGTTGGATTGGTTCGTTGATCAACGAGTGCTCAAAGCGACAATTCTTCTTGCTTTGTTCTTTGTCAAGATAAAATGAACTGAGATTTTGCAGTACTCGTGCTCGTACTCGTACTGGTTCCGGTTGTTCGGATTTTGGCCACTCGAAACAAAAGCGAAAAAAGCAGACCGTGAGGTGATGTTGATTTTCAAAAAATCAAACAGGTGAGTTCCACAATTTCAAAAAACCAAAAAGGATTTGAGGGGTCGTCTCGCTCTTTTTTCGAACCGGACCCGAACGTGGTTCATAGTACCATACGACGCGGTACTTATGCCTCGGAGGCAATATGCGCGAACGCCGCGTTCTAAGTAAAAATTTGAACGAAGTGGATTAACCGAGCCGTCGCGTCGGGAGCAAACCCGGTCCCCGGAAACAATTCAGTCCCGGGTTGGTCTTTTGTCTCGGGTGGGATGGGTATGTACGTACCGGTACGTATGTACGTACGTTCGAGTGCGATGGTCTACGGTCCGTCCTTCGTTCCTTGTTCCTTCCATCCCCCCCGGGAGCAGCCGGGCGGCGACGGAGGACGCGACGGAAGAACGAAAGAAAATCCGAAACCAAAAAAAGTTCGAAGCAGAACGCAGCGAAGACGCGACCCTGTTTTGGCACCCSTGCCGCCTAGGATTCCAAACCACGGGAGAGCACGCTTGAAAGGCTAGAACAAGCAGGGATGAGCGTGCTTGCCAAAGAAAAGAAAGGAAAAGGAACAATGGGTTTGCTATACTCGTTCGGAACAGCTCGTCGCTGTGCGATCCATCGAAAAACAAACAGGAACGGCGCCGTGCTCCTTCGTTTCCATCGAGGACACACTGCAAACGGCATCAACGGCTRCCGAAAAGAATCCGGCGCCAACTACACAGAGCACGTCTGTATTTGCACAATGTTGYGGTGGATCCCAGTGTGGTTCCCCGCCGAAGAATTCGTGTGACGTATAATAAATTTTGCGTTATGGTGTACCACTATAAACTAACTGTACTATACTATCAAACGTAGCAGTGCTTGGCTGGCTGGGTTTGTGCTGCTCTTTCCGTCCCATCCCATCCCGGGGGTGTGCCTACCTCCYACACGAAACCAAAAAAAGCGTAAAAAGTTCGGCGGTCCGTGCCGCGGTTGTGTTGTGTTCTGTTCTGCGGCGTTTCTGTTTTGCTCCGCGGGGCATTGTTAACAATCACATCCGGTGCCTAGGCCTTGCCCCCGCTGCCGGGGGCGCGCACGTAGGCGTCAATGTCGATGGGCGCCCAGACGTTGACCTTGGCGTCGTTGTTCAGCTGGATGCGGTAGGCGTTTCCCTCGTCCCAGTGCTTGACGACGACCCCCTTGGTGAACTCCCCGACGTTCGCCTCGACCTCCTGGCCGATCTCGAACCGGAGCTTGTCGGTGACGCGGCAGGCCATAAAGCCCTCCCGGAGGAACTCGTGGTTGAGGTTCTTTCCGATAAAGACGAACCGGCTCTCGCGCTCCTCCTCGGGCTCCTTCCAGGGTTGTTCGTCGAAACCTCCCGAAAAGATCATTCCGACGCCCTGGAAGACAAACTTTTCGTCCATTCCCTTGACGGCAAGCTATCCACAAATCGACGGCGAATGAAACGAACAACAACAACAGCGACAAGAACGACAGCGACGACAAAAGCGAGAGTCCGGGCAAGAAAAGCAATGTGAGACAAACAACGACCGTTGCAAACCACCGACAAGGTCCGAGGCGACACAATTCAATCCAATCCAATCCAATCCAATCCTGCGCTGCTCCACGTACCACTCCCTTGTACCGGTAGAGATTGGCACCGTCCTCCGTGACCAGGCGCTGGATCCAGCGCTGCATGAGGTTGACGTTGAGGGGGTCTCCCTTGACCTTGAGGGCCACCGAGGTGACCGTTTCGTCGTGCATGTGCTCGCCGTCCTCGTCCAGAAAGTCCGGCTCGAACTCGAGGACGCGGTCCAGCTCAAAGGCCTGGATGTTGAGGAGCTCCTTGGGGTCGAGCTTGCTGTGCTGGGTCCGCTTGATGGCGGCGGCGGGGTTGATCTTCTTGATCTCCCCCTCGATCTTGGCCAGCTCCTCGGCGTCGGGCACCAGGTCGATCTTGTTGAGGAGGACCTTGTCGGCAAAGGCAATCTGCTCGACCGACTCGTTCTCGACGCCCTCCGGCTTTTCTTCCTTGAGTCGCGCCATGATGTGCTTGGCGTCCACGACGGTGATGACCGCGTCGAGGCGGTACTTGGCCTTGACGTCCTCGTCGACGAAAAAGGTCTGCACGACGGGGGCGGGGTCGGCCAGGCCGGTGGTCTCGATGATRACCCCGTCGAACTTCTCCACGCGGTCGTAGAGCTTCTTGAGGGCCACCACCAGGTCCCCCCGGACCGTGCAGCAGATGCACCCGTTCATCACCTCGATGACCTCCTCGTCGGCGTTCTCCGACAAAATGTTCTCGTCGACGCCCACCTCGCCAAACTCGTTCTCGATGATGGCGAACTTCATTCCGTGGTTGCCATCGTTCAGGATGTGGTTCAGGAGGGTCGTCTTCCCGCTTCCGAGAAAGCCCGTCAGGACGGTCACTGTGTGGAGTGAAGCAAAGCAAAGCGAAGCGAAGCGAAGCAGAGCACATGGCAGACGGTTGCTTGTGTTGAGTCAACAGTTCAAAAGATCGCAAAGGGCCGTTTGGCATCACATAGCATCGCATCACGTAGCATCGCATCACAAGGCATCGCAACACACGGCAGCCACGCCGTGGTCGATCCTGCTTCGTTCTCGCACAACCAAAGCCAAACCAACCCAAACCAAGCCAATCGTGCCTGCGAGAGCCAAGCGGGATGTCTTCGCCCACCCGGGGCAACCGCGTTTCTCTTGAGCTTTCGAATCGCGTCACTTACCGGGTACAATCTTCGGTGGGGTCGATGAAAACATGCCTCCTTTGTGTTCGGTCTTTTGCTTCTTTTTCTCTGCTTCCATTTGCAAAAAGTAAAATGGATAGGGGGTGAATTCCTCTAGCTCCTTGCAAATCGGAGAGAGGACGATCATCCTTGCGGTTTTTTTGTTGGGGTGTGGCGAGAAAAGCCTGTAGGCGTTTCGTACAAGCCTACCAGACCAAGAAGGCTTGGGCAAATACCCGGGACATGGAGGACTCGTATCAGACGGCTAACTCGTAGTACCGGCACGATACGATACGATACGATACGATCAATACGAAATACGAACCACGAAATAAATATCTTTCCGTGAGGCGTCAGCAGCAGATGGCGGGGGCCGGGTCCGGGGACTGCCCCAACGGGTGGTGGACGAGGCGAGGCGGTTTCCTTCGATGAAAAGGTACAATCACACCCGTACCGACCGTACTCGTACTTTACCACACCGTGCCCTCGGCCGGACCGGCAAGAGGCCGAGGCGCGGGCAACGCAAGGAACGCGGCGGGAGGGAAGGACGAGACGAGACGAGACAACCCTGTACGATACGGTACCGTGAAACACGAGAACCCTACGGATGCTGCCGTGGAGCACCAAGGCAACGAATCTCGGATCGATCGCACCCCGTACTCGTACCTACCGCAGCACGAACCGTGGTGCATACCGCAAAACGGAAGCGAAAGGTTGTGACCCCCGAACATTAGGCTTTTCTTGCCACCCGATTTGGCCTTCTGAAAAGGCCTAAAATCTCATTGGCCGAGACAACCCGGTCGTCCGTTATCGTACTTACAGCGAAGAGAACCGTCAAAGTACTGTACGGAACGTACCCGGTACGGTACTTGGTACGATGCTCTGTCTTTTGGACCTTCGCCATCTGCTGTACGTTGTACGGTATTGTATGTACTATGGGGTATGAAAGGTAGGTACGTACTATGCCTGGGGGGTTGATAGGTATGGTGATACGTATTGTTTCATACGCTACATACGAGTACGATTTACCGTACGATGTACCGTACGGTACTAGGATCGTTGTTTAGGAGTCTGTCATATTTTTTGCTTCCTTGACGAAGACATTTATTAGTGCTACTACTACTCTAGTAGCGGTAGCACCACAGCTATTTGCTACATCCAAAAACACTTGTTGGTGTTGCTCGTCAGAACAATGAAGTTCTTGACACCACTACCTACTAAGAAGCAAGCGTTGTGCTGGTGGTGTACTACCATTCTTCCTGGTGTTCTTTTTGTTGTTCTCGGTCTTCTGGGCGATCATGGTCTTGTTGTTGTTCCTTTCCCTTGTTTTTGTTTGCTTGTTGTTCTTCCGCTAAGTTTTGCTCCTAGCTAGCTAGTAGCATCATTTTCCCTTCTGAATATGCAAAATTTCCAGTAGCCATCATGGTGCCGTAAGACGTTTGCTTGCATTTCCATRCAGACATCATCTGTTTTATTCATGGTTTTACGCTCATCAAGTCTTTTGTTAATTCCAACTACTTCATCGTCGTGTCCTAGCAAAAATACAACAGCTAGTAAACCGTGCCCTTTCACAACAATATGCCACGGGCAGAGAACAAGATTGTTCCCGCAAATCGTACTACACACCAGGAATTCCAAGCAAGCAAAGGCTCGTTCGAAATCCTTGCCCCGCAGCTTCGTGGCGCGTCGGTTCCCTGGCTGCTCGGGTACAAAAAGGCTGCTGCCGGTGGGGTCGCTAGTAGAGCAGTGCCAGCACCAGCGTTAGGAGCGCGAGCGCCGCGGCACCGACCGGAGCACCACGGCCCGAAGACGGCGGTGTTGAGATGTTTGAAAATCAGTAAGTGGTGAATCGAGTCAAATAAAGCGTTCTCTATCTTATTCTCTATTTCTTTGAAATATGACAAGCTCTCCTCCTAGTAGCTCTAATAATCACGGCCTCTGTCCGGAATTCACTCCTCTTATACTCATTGTTTTGCTCTTCCCTTTATTGCTTCACTGTGGATCAATAAAGATACYTGGATCCCTCCTGGATCTCTTCAACTTCAAGGGTTCCTGTATCGGGTCCCCTGACACTTCTGTTGCCAGCTCGGCCTGTAACATCTGTCTTCTGACACCATTAACAGCTTTATCACCAGCTGCCATGGCTTGATAATCCTCCAATTAGCTAGCTAGCTCCAACTTGAATCTACCGCCATTCMCTTGTTCCAGCCTATCCTCAGCAACTCATGTTGGCTCACCTAGCTCGGTTGTCCGCGCACGCCACGTGTCAGACCATCTGTTCCAACAGGCGGCTAGGAGGCCCCGTCCGGTCCGGCGCCTTCCTCCACCTCCGGTGCGACGGCTCTTTCGTCCGCTGGTGGCTCGGGGGAGGATTCTTTCGTCAGCTCGTACCCGGCCTCCACCCACTGGCGGGTCCCGCCCCCGTTGTAGAGGGTCCCCTCCAGCCCCATCTCCTCCAGTTGCTGGATCGCCTTGGTGGCCCGGCTCCCGGCCCGGCAGTAGACCRCGATCCTGGCGCGGGCCTTGTCGCACGACGAGTACCCGGCGTTGCTCTTTGCCAGMTCCCRGAAGCCGTCCTCCGAAAGGGTCTCGACCGGAAGGTGGACGGCGCCGGGGATATGACCGGTGTCCCACTCGTYCTGCCGGCGGACGTCGAGGATCAGGTCGAAGCTGTTGTTGTCGATGCCCTCCTTGAACTCCTCGGTCGTGATCGCGATCATGGTRTCGTGTTCTTTTGTCTCGTATCGCGGTACGGTAGCGTTTGTCTTTGTTTCGTGATTCTTTGGCAGATTTTTGGGGAGCAAAATGGAACAGAATGACCTATCAAACCACTCCGGGAGCTTGCTGTTGCTGCGATCTAATCGTGTTCTGACGCTTCCAAAGGAAGAAATGCGCCTGTTGTGTTTTCAGAATGTAGCTTGATTGCTTGATTGCGCATTATTGCTGCACGGCTCGTCTGAAGAGTGCGAAAGAAAGATGTGCAATGTTTGGCACAGACGATGGCACAGACGATGGCACAGACGATGGCACAGAACATTTTTTGTTTCGATTTCGATCGAGAGGCGCGTCAAGGGAATTGGTGGAAGGGCCCAGACCGGGACTCGCTTCGCGTGACACCCGAAAAAACGCAACTGCACCTGTTTCAAGAAATTCCTCACGTTGTGTATTTTGTCCTTTTGGGAAATACCGTACTTGCTGTACGGTACTTTATTCCATCAACTAACAAGCCATTTCGATCACATGACATAAAAATAAGTATTAGTACTAGTATTTGAATGTTTTCAATACTGTTTGTGGTTCTTGTGGTTGATCTCTAGTAGAACAAGAAGAAGAACCAAAGTTTAGAAGATGATCATGATGCCCCCCCCCTCCTCTCGCCCACCCTCCCCTGGTATTTGCTAGAGTAGTAGAAGTAGTTGTTAGCGACTAACTCCTTTGCATTGAAATGAGTGTGTGAATTTGTTGGACTGTTGAAAAAAAAGGTTGGCATTACTGTTGGTGATGTGAAGTTTCAGCTTGGGTCCAGATTAAATGCTTGGCTCCAAGAACAAGGAGTTCATGCTTTTCATCAATTGAATAAGCATAATCTGAACTCATTGACTCATACTACATTAGAGGTCTAAAGATTGCGTTTGGGTTGCACTGTAAGAATGCGTATTACATAAGAAGTAGAGTGCAGTACTCTGTAAGAGACCTATAATCATGTTGAAGGGAGTACCGGAGAGACCAAATTCCATTGAAGCAGATCTAGTATTTACTAATCTGCTCATTCCGAACTGCTTCACAACATCAAAACACTGCCCGATGATGCGCTAGTGATCGTGTTGCACTGTGTGCCAATATTGGTGATGGAGGTCTGACTACAGATTTGATGGTACGCGTGAACYGCGATGCATCCATCCATCCACCAGGGTTGGAAGGAGGGACAGAACGTTCCAAAGTACGTTCGATTTTTTTTCTCTGCGGTGCTCTTCTCTTTTGTCCATTGTCCTCTGGGACCGTTTGCTCSTCTCGTGCGATTGATTGGGGTCGGCGCTTTCCGATTCATCGTCTCGATCCCTCGGTGGTTCGTTTCACAACCCAAGGGTTCTCTCTCTTTTTTCTCTCCGGTGCAGACGCGGCTCGATTGCGTCTTCGCGGCGTCCCTTCCGCACGACGGCCTTCCCAACCCTTTCGGAGTCTCCGGTCGCATCGGTTCGGTTCCGATCATTGGATTTCGATGTCGATATCGATATCGATATCGATATCGATTTCGATTTCGATCCAGGCCGGCTTGCCTCGGCGGAGGCAACGCGCGGTGCGGTGCTCAGAGGCCCCCCGAGACGAGGCAGGGCTTCGGCGGCCCAGGGTGCGGTTGCTGCTGCTGCTGCTGCTGCTGCTCCCGCCGCAGCTCGCATTCCCCGCCTTCGTCGCCGCCGCCCGGGCGGGCCCGGTAGGACGACGAATAGTAATAGTCGCCGCCGTCGTAGTCGTTTCTGTTTCGTCTCCTGCGCCGGCGGTAGTAGGTCCGCCCCCGGCGCGCCCCGCCGCAGCAGCAGGAGGAGACCAGGAACATCAGAAAGAGCGCCAGGAACCACTGCCCCCAGGTCCAGGCGGCAATGGGCGTCGTGAAGAGCCTCCGGATGGCCTCGATCAAGGCGTTGAAGGTTTCCGCCGGGGACATCACCATGGTCGAGAGCGCTGTTTTTGTTTTTGTTTTCGTTTTTCTATCGGCCGATGGCTAAAGAGTGCTTTCAAAACTGGGAAGATAGCACGGTACGGTAAAACGGTGATGGCTCGGTTCCTACACTTGCAAGGATTCGTTTTGCCTCGGTAACGAAACAAAAGTACCCAAGGTTGTGATACRGTAAATTCCAAGAACTAAAAATGTTTTCAACTTCTCAAAATCATGGCTCGTGTAGTAGTACTGGTACGAGTAAAGTACTGTACTATGTACTCGTGTACTTTGCATCCTCAACGTTCCTATTATTAAGAGTATCGCTGTACACTAGCACGTCTCAGGTGCGCATTGGTTTCTCCCTTGGGCGTCTACGGACCGGTATGATGTCATGATACCGCACGGTATATTATATGTATTAACATATGTACCGTGCATACGATCGTACCTCACTCAATTTCGATTGTTGACTGTCGACTGTCGACTGTCGACTGTCAACCTCCGCCGCCCCCCATCCGAATTCCCCCCGGAATGCATTTCATCAGTGATTGAAATACTCGTGACTGAGCTGCGGGCAAAACCATTGCCGCGGAAACCAAAAAAATCTTTGCCTCAAAACACCAAAAAAATCCCGGAAGAAACCACGCGAAGGATCTTTGGCATCGCATCGTACGCTGCCCTAGGCCGCTGGCGACAATGGCGGGGCCGTCGTCTCGTTGCCACGCTCCCGTCCCTTTCCAACCGACCACCGGAAGGGTTGCTRTCGAGCCACGCCCAACAAACGCTGGYTTTGTCATCCGTTGCGACGCAACAGACCGATTCGATGCATCGGCATTCKATGYWTGCGTGCGTGCGTGCGTGCTGTTTGTTCATCCGTGCTCGGCAACTCGGCACGCGTGGGCGAGGRGGATCCCCGGTCGTGGTTTTGTCCGCAACGGAACCGCCGAAAGCAGCAACCGACACAAACAAGATCGAACGGCTCCGCGGCTCAACACATGGTTTCGCCTTTCTTTCTTGCGATCGTGATCACCACCACGATCGTGACGAAGAGATCAGATGATATGGCATGTTCCAGTAGGAGCGATCGGATCCGTCGATTGCTYCCCAYACTGCTCGCATAAAACAGAGACATGGTTTCGAGCAAAAGAAACGCACAAGAACCAAAAGGAAACGGACAAGACACAAACAACCATTGAACTACAAGATGGGTTTCTTTCGATACAAACGGATTGCAAAGAAACGGAAAAAATGGGAACCCGTCATCAACGATGCGGATTCCGTTTCTGGAAGCGATGGTGGCAGTTTCGTGGGAATGGAAGTCGCTGTGGAGAAACGGGCGTCGAGATTTCTTGCCGTGCCAAACCCGAGGAAGGAGACGGCACCGAAGAGTTCCCGCAGTGCCGGGCACGGTCGCAGTGGAACCCCGATCCGCGACGGTGGAGAGATCCATCGATGCTGTCCAACCAGCACCGGCAGCTCGGACGAACACGGAACCGGAAACGGAAACCAACACGAGGACCAACCCGAGCTCGAGTTTTCGTCGTCSAGCGGATCGTCGGTGTGTTCCTATACGRYCTTTCCTCCCGTCTCGGTCGCCGACACCGGGGACGCCGAAGCAGAGTTCGTGGCCACCACCGACAATCTTTCGTACCTKATCCTYAACCTGGAAACCGCGGTGGTGGTCGGTGCCAGCGAGCCGCTGCGGGCGCTTTCGATGCTCCTGGCCCTCGCCGAGMRGCAGCCCCAAGGGCACACTGCGGGCCGGAGCCGCGGGAGCGTCTACCGGACCCGGCTGGAAATGGTCCGCGCCGAGAACGGGAGGCTCGTTCCCGTCCTGCTGCGGTTTCTGAACCGCTGCATGTTCCACAGCCGAGAGCACGACMTCRCCCTGCTCGTCCTGAGCAAGCTGAGCCTTCCGCAGGAAAACAAGGAGGTGCGTGCGGCGTCCGAACCGATCTTTCTCGAGTGATTGCGATCGATCGATGCTTGTGTGTCCATTCGTCTCGAGTGATTGCGATCGAGGTGTTGATTGTGCGATGGATTGTTGCTAACAGTATTGTTTCTTCTGCACGACTTCTTGGCGCAGTTGATCGCCATCGATTTCAACGGGGCCGAGATTTTGGCAAAGCTCTTGTGTGAAGATCCATCCTGCCACCTGGTTGCCCTCGTGCTGGTAAACCTAACCTTTGATGCAACGCCTCTGGAGGACAAGGTGAACACCGCTATCGAGGTTACAGCGCAGGGATCCAACAGCAACGATGACGCTATTGATGTTGTCCAATACGAAACKGATGGTGGCAGCAACGACCTGTTGGATGGCGATTGTGACTGTAGCGACGGGTCCTCGCTGCGGAAAAAGCTTCTCGGCATGAACGAAGACATTGCTCTGGTAGAATCGTTGGCCTTTGCCCTTCGGGTTTCTTCCCTGACCCAGGAGGAATACGACGCACGGCAGGCTACGATCGATGATTGCAACTACGGCGAAGAATACTTGTCCCCGGCAACAAAGCTGTCCGTGCTCATGGCCAAGGACCAGCAATTGCGGGCACGAAAGAAGGAAGAGGAACAAGAAAAAGAGCAACGAGAAGAGTACGAGCGAGAACGAGAGCGAGGTCTACAAAAACAGATAAGTGCAGACGAGATTCTTCGACAACTAAAATTCAACGAGCAAGAGCTCCAAGTATTTGGATCCATCGGCAGTCCGCCAAAGCTCAAAGAGGGTCGGCCTCGCCCTTGCCAACAACAACAACAACAACAACAACATGATCCCTCTACCGTGCTCGAGGAATCCCTTCACATGTATCCCGAGACAGCGAAGTGGTGCTTAGTGGCGCTGAGGAACCTCACTAAACCATCCAACCAGAATGCAACAGCGGCACACGTGTTGATCAAGAGCGAGATATACTCATTGATTGTTCAATATGTTGCCGTGGTAGCCGCCGATGACACCAAGGATGCGCAACACAAGCCCGAAGTCGCCGAAACGGATTTGTGCAACCAAATCGATAACAATTTTTTGAGTGCGTCATATGGTGGAATTCATGTTCGCAAGATCGCTAGTGACCTCTTTACCGAAACCGGTGCTGCGACAGGGCACAATGACGACCGCATCAGCAATCTTGAGCTCCTCCAGTCTAGAAATTCTCCCTGCTTGTGGGATTGCAACTCCCTGCAGGATGCGGCACTATCCGTGGTTTTCAATCTAGCGGCCTCCTCACAATCGAGGGAGTACATGAATGAGCCGTCCACGGTCAAAGTCTTGTCAATGATTGCCGAATACCCAAGGCTTTTTGGGAGATCGAATAGACTCAAAGACAGCTTCGCGATGGAACAGAACCAAGTGGTAGCATTTCAATCCCTCAAAGCGGTAGGTTGTCACCAAAGGAACTTCCCGAAACAAGTAAATTCGCTCCTATGCAACAAATTTCGATCATTTTAGCCGATCACTCACACCCCTCGATTGTCTTGCATTGGCTTCCTACAGAGAATGGCCCTGTCATATTTGGTCGGCTCTCAGGGACATTTTGGGCAAACGAAGCTTCGATCGTCTGCTTCGACCGTCCAAGCCAATGCCAGCGATTCGTCTTTGATTATGACACGCGATGACATCGTACTTTTTGCTGAGCTAATCGCAGACACAATGTGTCATCGAGGCAAGCAGTGGCCGGGCGCATGTAAATTCATGTTAGGAAACTCCTGCTTGAATTGCGTTCTCTCCTCGCTCCGATGTCTGTTGACGCACACTGCGAACCAAGAGAGGATCGCGAAACTCATCGGTGTCGATCTCAATTCTCTGTTGATCAATGCCTTGGCACAGTATGCCCTCGAGCCATCCACCAGGTGCATGGATTCAGAATCTGCAGAGCATGCGGTTTTTAGTTTGTACCTTTTATCCAACCATGGTCTGAAAGGGACACCATTTCTCTCACAGAAATATGCTCCTGATCCTGCAAGAAGCAAGGACAAGGACTATGGTTTGGCTGCAAAGATTTTGTTTTCATACTTGAGTTTGAACGAAATTACACCGGCTGGGCAGCACGCCGCACGACAGCTCTTGTTGAGAGTGAATCACCTGAACTTTCAGAAGAATTGCAGTCTGGTACGTTGTTGTTGATTTGCATTGAATATGAATTTCCCCGCTTATTGGAGAGGAATCGTAGTACCATTCTCTGTTTTCCATTCTAATATTTCGCTTCTGAACAAATCAATGATTACCCGTAAATACATCGAAATGTGGACTTGCCGATAGAAAATTCCAAGTGTTGTCTCACCAGCTGATCTCGAGATCGACTACATTTTGTTGGCAAAGATTGAGCGTGTCCAAATCGCAGATTGGAAAGATGGAGCCAAACCTGAATCCTCAATTTTTCATCGCTCTCTTCTGCGATGCCAAAAACCACGTGATTGGGAACGTCGATTCCCATCGAAAAATAGCAAAAGGACTAAAATCAAATGGGATGATCCATCAACTGTTTTTACGTTTGCAAATGCTCTGGTTGCAGTTCAGCAATTGTCGTATGGGAGTTTGAAAGTCCATCATTCCTCCCCCGACTTGATTGACGACATCGCTATCGCTAATGATATTGCTCGCAGTGCCAATAGTGAAAGATCTGGGTGCTACAACTTTTTGTGGGCTTGGGAAGATGTCAAGATAAACGCCAGTGACGATTCAGATCATAGTATTATACTCGACCGAGTCTCGCACACAAAATGTCTACTTCGTCTTCCATCTATCGGTGAAGGCATGTGCTTGTCTCCTCTGCGTCGTTCACCATGCAATAGCGATAGAAGTAGCATCAAAATCGGTAGCGCTTTCGCCAAATATACGTATGATGATGAAAAAATATCCTTCCTGCAACTCTGTTGCTCGACAACAAAGCCCTCCGACAAGGGTACATCGGAAATATGAAAACAGTTACATTTCTTACTTTTTGGCAATGTGTATCTCTAATGCGATCGTACGGTACTGTGAATAACTTTCGGTGTAGTGTCTAGTTTCATCGGTCGCTGGAAAGTTGATCGGATTGAATCTCTTCGATGCCTGCAATATGGCAATTTTTGACATCGTCTGTGAACGCGTCATGACTACTAAGCTGGACGTTATGCTGTTTTGGAACTTTTTTGGGATAGCCTATTTGTAAGGAGATTTGAAATATTCAATATCAGGACGTGACGTCATTTTACAGCACATGCCTACGATTATACGAACATCGTTTCCACATCTCATTTGCGCATGACTACTTTTCAGAGACGATAGCATCTAGAATGAACCATTATTTTTTATTGGTTTCGTTTTTTCTTCTTTTTCCTAGTTTCCTCCAATTTTATCCCCGCCAGGTTCTGCTGGTTTAGTCGTTGTCATCGAACGGGCACGCATAGCCGCAAGATCTTTTGAGCCAAACCCTTTCCCTTTTCCGCGACGAACCGGCACAACCGATTGCCGTGGGGGTACAGGAAACTGAGTGTCTTTGCTTGCTGCTTCCTTCTCCTCGATGTTAGGCGTTTGATCAGCGAGAGCCGGCTTCGATTGGCTATTTTGCGATAATGATAAGGATTTTTTCCCCACTTCTGCAACTGAATCATGCTTAGCGATCTGCATATTTTGTTGGCTTACCTCCATAATGTGTTTCTGGGAGTTCAATACTGTGGTACTTGCACTCGATGAGTTAGCAAATGAGTCCCCTCCATACATAGGAGCCAAGGTTGGTAAGGAGGTTCGGGTTGGTTCGGATGCGCCTCTTCCTGCCATTGGGATTGTTGCGGGAGTTCGAGTTGTTGCTCCTTGTCCTCCTCTCGCAATAGCCGATGCTGGAGTTTCTCCGACCTTTGATGACTCGGCAGACTCTGTTTGGGTGTTACTCCCTGCTGCCCGCGCCATGAGCGCCGCTAGATTTTTTGCACCTCTACCGGCTCCTGATCTTTGCATACCTGATTGAGTGGGTTGCATACCGATTTTTACTTTTTCAACAGGCTTAGTGACCTTGACAATTTTTACTTCGCTACCATCTCTATTATTCTCTTCGATTCCTTGAGATATATCTGGCAAAGGACCAGCAGTTGGTGTAACATTCGATGCTGGGGGTGGATTATTTACTCTTAGCGGAGTATTGATCATTGAATCTGTTGTAGACATAGCTCCTGATGGTTGATTTGACACCAAAGGTGTGTTCACGATATTTGACACAATACCCGTAGCCGAAGCCGAAGCCTTTGCATCCATCTTTGGAACTGAAGAATTGGGTGATTCCAATACATTCGTCTTGTTCGGAGTTTTCTTGACATCTTCTTCACGATCAGATTTTGTATCTCTACTTGCGTCCCTGCGACTCTCAACAGATGTCATATATGGTGGTTTCAACTTTTTTTCTTCAGTTTTTAATTCTTTTGAAGAATTCGTTATTTCACTCGATATAAAGCTCTGGACAGCCTTGAAAGTAACTCCTGCATTAAACGATTGCATTGAATTGAAACCAGATAATAAGGTTTGTTCAAGAGAAATTCTCGATATTGAGCCTCCAATCGATGATGGCTGTCCGCATGGTAACATCTTCAGTGCAGCGAAAAGATCGATAGAACTGATCTGTTTCTTCCTCATGATTTCTTGTGTGGCAGTCGACGCCTTTCCTTTCGAAATTTTCTTGCTTTTGTTCGAATTTGACGCCAAAACGTTTGGGAAGTGAATTGACTGTGGAAAAAGCTCGCCTTTTTCCAGACCCTTTTTGTACTCAATTGAATCATTTAACAAATTTTTGATATATTCCTTCAATGCTACAGTCAAAAGCCACATTGCGCAGTCAGATACTTTCATGTCACTTGCTTCAACAGTATCACGGAGAAATGGGTCGACAACGAGAGCTCCCGGAATGCAAGAGGAGGCGATTGGTTCTGTGGGCCCTTCTTGCGGATTGCGTTCCTTTTTGTCGGTAGGGTCGTCAGGAACATCCCATACTTCTTTGTAGGGCGTTTTCTCGTCAATGTGGGGAACACTCGAAATTTGCAAGAGGCTCTCTTTCAATTCTTCGAAATGCGGATAAAATTTCTTTTTTGGCAGTATTCTTGAAGTATTAACTTGTGGAACTTTAACTCGGTGGCGCCATCTCAACGGAACATGTTCAGATACATCAGTGTATGGAACGCGGTCTTTCAACGCTCGCCTCATGATACCTGTTAGGGAAGCATTTTGAAATAGAGGTTAGTAACGATCATCAGTGGTCATTACGAAATGAAACCAGTCGAAAACTTACTCATAATAAATTTATTGTGAATTTTTCTGAGCTTCCTTGATTTGAGAAATTCAGAAATGACACGGTCGCAGCGTTTATGAGCGTTTCTATTCAGGGGGCTCGATAAACGAAGACAAATTGCGTCCCAATACATTCCAAAGATTCGTTCAAAACCCCTGCCTAGGTGAATCTGGCTTCCTGTTGTATAAAGCAATGTCTTCACACGATCAATTTTGTCACAATCGTATACAGTTGTTGGCGAGACAGTTTTCACAGGTCTAGATGAGGATGATAAAGTTGACATCGCCACCCAAGAAACTTTCGGTTTTTCTACGCTTCTGAATGAAGTGTTTTCAGAATGCGTTGGCGTTAGATCGTCTTGTTTCCGGCCTGAAATGGAGTCTTTTGATTCTTTAACTTCCATTCGTGTAGCACCTTCCATATCAAAATTACCAATTTGCTTTACTGCAGAATCCACATTTTTGACATTTTCAACTTCCATACTTGTCACACCTTCAACAGTGACCTGGGCACTTGGTTCGAGAGCAGAATCGACACGTTTCTGCCCTTCAATTTTCGTGGAGGCTTCGGAATCGACCTCGGCGGTTGTCTTCAGAGCACTATCGATTGCTTTCTGTTCGTGTATCTCGGTGCGGGTAGCACCTTCAGTATCAATCTGGGGTTGGAGAGTTGTAGACGCATGTGCGACACCTTCCAAAGTGACATTAGAACATGCTTTAGGAGATAAATCTATATCCATTTCTGTGACATCCGTAGAAGCATTGTCGAGCCTGGATTCAACAGATTTGACAAGAAACTTAAGAGTGGCATTCACATCATTGCGGGTCGCTTCTTTTGGGTCGGTATCATTCCGATCGTTCTCTGCTGTCAATTTCAATGCATCAGTCGAAATGGCTTGCTCTTGCTCTTTTTCATGAGAGCATTCGGTAGTCTTTCCAGCGGCTACGTCTTCAATCTTACCAGTTTTGTCTCCGTCTACTACAGTATCTAGCTCTTCCTCCACTTTTCCATTGACTAAGCTATCGTCTTCATTCCCAGCTGAGGGAAGAGCAATTGGATTTCGAGTAGATGATGGTGACGCATTTTTGTGTCCAGATGTTTCATGCAGTGGTTCCTGCAATTCTGGCCTCTGATCGCCGACTGCAGTCCTTAGCTGTGAATCTGACAAAGGTTCGCGACCGATTGAAATCTTGGTAGCCTTTATACTCTCTTTAGACTCGCCCATGTCACTATCAATATTTTTCGCATTCGATAGAGAAAAATTTTGATCATCAGCTTGTTCCTCCGCTTCTCCCTGCTGAGCTACAGATGATGTTACCAAGTTCTTCAATGAATGATCTTGAATTTCTTTCACATCATCCGAAGAATTAGTATTGTTTAATGAGGTGGGCACGAAAAGTGCATCGCGACCTACACTGCTCTTCACTTGGTGTATGGATTCTCCCGACGCAGTTAGCTCATGATCAGCTTCAATATCTTTCTCTTGTTTCGGAAGTCTAGATCCATCGCTTTGCTTGTCACCTGAAACTACCATCTCTGTTTTGGTTTCTGCCTTGTTGCTCAAGTCCGGCGTCTTAGTTTTCGTTCTCGTTGGTACTGTCTCCTTTGCTTCGGCATCTTTTTCGTTACTTTCAGTATGTACTGCATCGTCACATTCCAATTTCTCGAGGACAGCAACGGTCGCTGCGTTCACTGCCTTGACACCATCTACTGCTTGTAATTGTTGAAATGAAGCATTGGAATGAACGGTATCTTCTTGTTCGGTGCTTTCATTCCCTATTGCTTTGTCCGCTTTCACGAATGTTAAATCCGATGGATCAACGGATTTCGAATCTGTTGCAGAATCTTGATTAGGCTTATCTGAATCAATGGCTTCGACGTTGAGCTTTCTAGACAGCTCGGCCGCATCGCCACACCTTGGTGCATTAACTGGAGTTCCTCTTTCAGCTGTGATAATTTCGATTTCTGTATTTTTCTTCTTGGTGACATTATCCTTTCCTGTCCTACTTACGCCGTCGGTGTCTGGTTCCTTTGGCATCATCAATTTACTTCCAATGTCGTTCTGTCTCTCGATGTGTAACTGATTGTCTAGATTAAGCTTTGTCGCGCTTTCCGATTCTAGCTCCATAGTAGAACCAGATGATTGTTGAATCACTGGATCGCTCTCTGAACGAGTTTTGTCTATTGATTGGACTTCCTCTGACATCTGTTTTTCTTTATCATTAGGTTTCTTCATTTCTGGCACTACGGTGATCGCACGCGTCTGAGATTCATTCGTAACAATATTCGCCTCCTTAGATTCTACCTTTGCGAAATCCTTCCCCTGAGATGTTTGCGACAGACTTTTAGTCAGCTCAGCTGGTTCAGACGCCAACTCATTCCTACCATTTCCTTGGTGGACCTTCACACGGGTGTGATCGTTCTCGGTACTGGTCGAAAGACCTACAAGAGCAATTTTTTCAACCTGAGGTTTAATTTTAATCTCTTGAGGTTTCTTCGAATCTTGGTCTGCAGTAGCAACCATCTTATCTGTAGTATTGTCCGCTAAGGTAGGAGAACCGTCATGGCAAGTAACTGCTGTTTGGTTTAGAGCAGCGGGCACACTTCGGGTCTCTGCAACATCTGTTCTTTTAACGAGTACGTGCTTATCTTGTCCCATACTGTTTTCGCCGTCATGAGCGCCATCCTTCATTGAAATTAAACTTTTGGGATCTGATACGAGGGGAATATTCTTCTCTGAGATAGTCTGCATCTGACCTTTCTCTACAGTGTCCTTGTCTATGTCCATCGATACCGCATTGGTACCTTGGCTTGAGATCGATTCGCCTTTTCCATCTTGATGTGCTTCCGCCTTGGATGAGAGCATCAAAGCATGCGTTTCTCCATTTGCCGGCGCTCCAGCAATCGCCGTTGAAAAAGGAGTTTGCTCGGAATTCTGTTTCAGCACGCTTGTTGCCAGATCTTTCGACTCGTCACCCTTTTCCACGCCCTTCGGGTTAGAATGCGATGTAGCGGTGGCAACGGCACTGATGGCTTCGTTTGGATCTGACAATTTCTCATCATCATGTGTTGTCAATTTCGTATCAGGAACGGTAGTTTTACTTTCGTGAACTTCATTGTTGGTAACAGCGATCGAGATCGTAGATTTTTCTTCTTTTCGCTCTTGGATTACCATTGATGCATCCTCCTCTAGTTCTGAATGCATTATATCTTTGTCTGACTTGGGTTTCGACGAAAAAAGTGAAAACGCTGCCAAGGTAGCTGCAGCGGCATTTTTGGCTGCCTCAACGATGCTACCGGTGCCTTTTTGATGTTGAATTGAAGCTTCAGTAACGTGATTGGTATCCTGCGGAGCTGGCTGAACGAGGTTTTGTGGAGAAGTGGATCCTGATTTAGTCTCTTGCTCTACATCTGATCCTTTTGGCTGCTCTTCATGATGTGTGGAACTGTTCGGTTCAGCTGTTACACAATGTTCGCCATCCAATTTTGTTGTCTCCTCGTCGTCAGGATGAGAGCTGCTAGGTTCTGTTTTGTCCTTATCCTCGGAATCTGATAGTTTTGGGTTGCAATTGGTAGACGTGGAACCGTCAGGTTTTGACTTACCCTCGTCCTTTACATCTGGCATGTTTGGCACATCGCTAGTAGCTTTAGAAGTGTCACGTTCCGATCTGTCCGCGTGGCCTGCATCTGGCGTTTTCCGTTCCTTGGTATCAGATTCAGGTTCGTTGKGTTCTGATTCTGGCTTGTGTTCAGACTCTGTTGGTTTTAGCTCGTGAGTGTAAGGTTGGGAAATGTGCTCTACATCTAGTGCTTTCCGTTGCTTGACGTCAGATGGAATTTTGTCCGATTCTGATGCCGCCTTCTGCGCAGTGTCTACCACTTTAGGCTTCTTTTTGTCCGATCCAGAGATAACAGTATCTGACGCGTCCAATCGCTCGGTACCTGGCATGTTCACCTCATTCTTTTCAGGTCGAGATTTGGTTAGTTCCGATTCACCCATGAGATTGGTACCTGAGGGCGCAGTTTTATTGGGTGAAGAATTGTTCGACTCCGATTCATCAACGTCGACCGCGTCCTTCTTCATCTTCATCGTAGTAGCTTTCGCCACCAATATAGCGGCTGCCTGCGCAGCCTTCGGGGTGAGTTTCCGCCTTCTGGTCGGTCTTGTGCTCACTGCAACTACACTAGTGGGTTGCTCCTTCTCGCTCTTTCTCTTCTCCGCGACAGAATGATCATCGGCGCTAGCCCTCGTACCATCTGGCTCGACTGTCTTTTCCCTGGCTTTTTCGTTTGCTTTCGAAAGGGCCTTGGTACTTCTCTTTGGTTCGACTGATTTCGACGATGACTCAGCATTTTTCTTGCCTTCAAGCCCACCCCTTTCGCCCGTGGCAACTTGTGCCTGTGCAATCACCATTCCTGAATTCTGGCCGTTATCTCCCTCGTCTGCATTGATTTCGCTGCTATCTACTCTCATTTTCTTGGTTTTCGATGATATTGATACTCCTTCCGAACTCAACCTCTTGGTTCTGGTGGACACAGCGTCCCCGTCGATTGCGCTGGGATAATCCCCATCGTTTGTTCTCGTTCTGGTGTCGTCGGCTTTTGCCTTGTTTTTCGATGCGATTGTCGTGGCTCCTGAATTCGGTTTCTTTCTTTTCACTGACTGGTCCTCCGCCTTGCCAGTTGTGGAAAGTGGTAGTTCCATCGAGCTCTCACTATGGCTTTTGTTCCTGTCATCATCTCCTCCTGCCGGCGACGCTTTGCCGGATACCGTTTTCGGTTTTGTGGAAGTCGCTACAGGAAAAAATGCAGTGATCGGTGCCATGTTTGCGGATGCTGATGCCATCGACCGGTTATCACTAGCTCCTTTCTTTTTCTCCTTTTTCTTTCCCTTCAGCGGTAACTTAGACGGTGGGGCTAGTTTCTCGTCTTTCCCGTGAACCATGTTGCTTGAAGATAGTGCACTTCCGACCACCGTTGCAGCAGACGGTTTCTTTCTCGTTTTCGTCGTTGGTGCCACTGCAGCCACCATTGCCAATGAATCAACCCTATTGACTTTCGCCCTTCCCAGTTCCTTCGAAATGTTCTGTTCGCTATTGGATATATCGTCGGCTATAGCGGTTTTGGATCGCTTCGTTTTCCTCCTGACCGGCTCCTCTTCCGAGCTGACGCTCGATGAAGAGGAATCGGCATCTTCTCCGGTATCAGAGACAGCGTCCGAGGACATCGTGGCTTCTTCTTGATATTTCTTGGGTGGCTTTCTCCGCTTCCTGCCTTTGGGCACAACGGAAGAATCCGCTTTGGATGGCTTGCGATGGTTGGTCTTGTCTTTGTCTTCGTTGGCAATTTCGGCGGCTTCCCCCTCGTCGCTGTCATTGCTGCTTTCGTCCGCAGATTTACGGTTTTCTGCCGTTGGAACATCGTCCTCCCAGGAACTATGGCCGTTGCTATCGGCGTCTGCGTCTGTGTTTGCCGCTTGTGAAGTAGCAGCTCTCGACTTTCTTCCCTTGTTTGTTCTTTCCCCCTTTCCCTCGGCTGCCTCCCCAGTCCTTCCTTTCCTTTTCGCAACTTTGGCCTTTTCGCGCAGTTTTTTCAGGCAGCTTTTCTGGTGTTTCGAAATCCCTTGCGCTTTGAAATACTTGCCGCAGTACTGACAGGGGAAGGTGGGTTTCGGGGCGGGTGCCGCCCTAAGGTCGGTTTCCTCATCCTCGACGGAAAACACGGCTTCGTCGGCGCTTGCTTCTTCCTCCGAGTCCGACCCGAGTTCCACTTCCTTCTTCTGCGGACTTGGATCGGGAGTATTGTCGGGAGACGAGGAGTCTCGCGGGGTATACACGGGCATGCACCTCTTTTCATGGGCGTTGATCCCCCGCGCCGTGAACGACTTCCCACATCCCCGGCAAACGAATGGTTTCACCGGACCGGGGTCTTTTTTGCGCGGATTGACAACCGCCTTGGACGACTTGCCGGGTCGGCCACCGATTTTCTTCCGGACAATCACCACGGGAGACGGCGGAGACGAAGAATCGCTGCTGCTGCTGCCGTCCGAAGAAGATCGTCTCGAATCGCCGCTGCTGTTGCTGCTGCTGCTGCTCCGGCTCGGTTTTTTCGCCGCCGCCTTAATGTGTCTTCGACTCTTTGCTTGTGGTTTGACCGGTGTTTGCTTCTTCCGACGCACCCTCTTCTTCCTTCCGGTCAGGGCTTCTTTCGGCGCATCGTCTTCGGTGTCTCGTTCCGCATCGTCGCCGTCGCCGTCGCCTTCGTTGTTTGAATCGTCGTCGGACTCATCGAAGATGTTGTCCTCGCTTTCCATCTTGTCGTCGTCGTCGTCGTCGTCGTCCCTGTTGTTCTCGACCTCCCCGTCGGCTACGGAATCGGACGATGCGGATTCCACCAGGGACGTTGCCGAGGACTGCGACGGCGTAGGGCTGCGGCTGCGATTGATAGTGTTTCCTTTTCTCGGCCGGCCCCGCTTTTTGGTTGCGGTCTTGGTGGAACCTGTTTTCTTGTTCGGCAGCCGCTCTTCCGGCTGCTCCGGGGGCGACAACGACGACGACGATTCTTTTTCGGGATCCTTGTTCCGGGACCGCTTTCCCCTCCGGCGTCCACGAATCGCGCCCGGGGCCATCTTGTCGCTGTCGTCGTCCAGTGAGTCGCCTTCTAGTTCGGGGTTTTCGTCGGGATTTTCGTCGGGTTTCGGCGGAACGACTTCCGGGCGTTTCCCTCTCGTGCGACGGCTTCTGCGTTCCGACATGGTTTGCGCAGCGCAACGCAATGTGCTTGCTAGTTTGCTTGCGAGCAACCGATTTGAATTAGGTCGCAAAAGGCAGTAAGTACGGGGCAATCGCAACGGCGGCAATCCTGCGTTTGCGGGAGCCGCTCTCAGCGATAAACGTGGTGGTCTTGCAAGATCTTGATGCTGCGGAGGCGGGTCAATCGGGCGATAATAACAACGATGATAAAAAAGGCGAAGCAAAAGATCGAAGTGACGCAGGTTAGACACGCCATCCCGGTGTGAATTTTTGCAAGCACAGCGAGGACGGTCTACAATAGGCACTAAAACCACAAGATATTTCGACCCAAACCCTTGGGAGCCAAATCCGCGGAAGGAGGGATCGCGTCACCGCTAGCCTTTGGTGATCGACGACGGCTTCCGTTCCTTCTTGCGCACTCACCACCCGGAGGAAACAGCTCGTCGAAGTGGCTTCGACTGTACGTGACAAGCTTGGCCTTTCGTGAGCTACAACTCGATTCGCACTCAACAATTTCGTAACCGGCCAGGTCTTCCTCGGCCATGGTCCGTATCCGATTGCGCTCCTGTTGCATGCATTCATCCTAGTAAGAGCACGGGTACGAACCGTCCCGTAGAAGGCAGTACAGTTAGTACCTATGTCCCTGCGCAGAACAGCAGCGCGGAGCATTGGGTTTCGCGTCCATCCTCCCCCTTTTCTCTTCTTGAAAACTGAAAAATTACCCCGAAATCAAATGTCAATTTTCAAAAGAGTACGTACTACCGATAGTAGTAACTCGTACTTGAACAAAGTCACACACAAAGCTTCTAGAAGTACTAGTACTACTGACAAAAGAATTATTAAGTAGAATGAGAGATACAGTCACATTCCAAATATTTATTGCAGAGAGTTGCGCGAAATGGAGAAAAATTTTGATCAGAAAAAATACTGGTGGGAGGACAACAATGAGGATGACTTAAATGAACTGAAGTCAAAGATACGGGCTGTATGGTGAGAACACCGACGGTAGTAATTATAACAAAAAGTATTGGATACGAAAATAACAACAATATTAGAATTTAATCCCATGCGGTTAGATAGTAAAATAGCTTCMTTGTGAAATAAATTTGTTGATGGAAATAGAGAAATTGTCGCTGGGCGCCAAAGAAGAGTTGGCATAACAAGGAAAGAGGAATTTGAAACCAACCAGAGGAATTGATAAAGTAGCAATAATAATTTTGTGAAGACACATGGTACTTTTTGAATGGTTGAGATACTTTTTGAATGGTTGAGACAATTCGTCTCTGAATACGATAATATTTTTTCTGAAAAAGACGAATTGATTTYGAGCATGATGAGAAGAAAGGGCATCGAACTCCAAATGAGAAATGAGTGGTACGAGAACATGTTCCAAGGAAAACGGCCAGATAAATGCATGCCAGCATCACAAAATACAA